GACGACAGCGCTTTGTGTGCGAAAGCTATTGGAGAGCTCCCCGTACACTCACACATCCGGAAGTCTGAGAATACGAAGAACTTCCGGGACATTCCTTGGTGGGGAAGCGTCTCAAGAGCAGACCGCTTAACCGAGTCGAATGCGTCTCGGAAATCCAGGAATACTAGAATCGTGAGTCGCTTATACGTATGGCGTTGTTCTAGCACCTGAAGAAGTGTGAGGATTTAGTCAACGCAACCACTACCAGGCCGGAATCCCGCTTGCTGCTCTCGAGTCAGTATCTCGCGAGCCACTGTAGGGCAACGAAGCACAACGGATGCCAACAGTCTCGTTACGACCGGGGTCAAGCTGATCCCCCTGTGATTACCACGTTCACTACGCGCCCCAATTTTGCAGACGGGCACTATCACCGATTCTCCCCAGTTATCTGGGACAGACTTTTTTCCCAAATGCAAGCAAACAGATCGGACAAGCGCTGGCTGAGGACTTCATCCCCGTCTTTGAACAGTGCGGGTGGGAGATCATCCGGACCTGGAGCTACGTGGCGCTTAAGGGAACATATGCATCCGTAAACCTCCGAGACCGTAGGTGGCTCCATGTTCACCGTCCAGGATTCTACTTCACCTGTGGGCTCCAGATGAGTGCAAGATGGTGGCCACGACAGTTGCTGTTCGAAGTATCCAGCCCACCGGTCGAAGCACCTCAATGCCAAGCGAGTCCAGCGTGAGTGCAAGAGCAGCCAGCTGTCCTGCTTGCTTCAGAGTGCGAACATTGAACGCGGCCAGATAGAGTGGGTGTCGAGGCTTGAGGACTGATCTGGAGATTCCTGAAGATGTCGGCACCATGTGACGAGCAGACGCTGCACGCAAAACCGATGCATGACGAACGGAGTCATCAGTCCTAAGTGCTGGGCCTACAAGGAGAGAGTTATTAATGGGGTGGGGAGAGGGGGAAGAAAAAGTATGTGAAGGAGAAAGAAGGGAGGCGTCAGCAGTAGCCTGTTTTCGCTTACCCGCCCTGCTGTATGCAGCAAGTAAGGCGACCCGGCTGATGGCACCACGCGACGGCCGATGTGGCATGAGAATATTGTTAGTTGTGTAGGTCATGGTTGTACGAGGGCTGGGATACTGCCAGGGCGCCCACACCTAGACAGGAGGACGATTAGGGTCCTCAACCAAAGCCTTTGGCTCAAAAGCCTAACCGCAAGGCAGCGGTGTTTGGCGGGAAATGCAAATGCATTACGATTTCTACGGAACAAGTCGCCACATGTTCCAACCCCCAACCTGAACGGCCAGGAGACTGTTCGTCAGACCTCTAACCATTGACCAACCTGGTGTGAGAGACTCTGTGAGTGTCGCGGGACACTCTCCAGTATAGCTCAATGGATCGCTGAGGTGCGCAAGCCGTCACACCACGATAAGGTCCAGTCTCTTCGTGACAGCTCGTCAGAGACATCTGGTGTGATGCAAGTTTCTGTATGTGTGATTATGGGCGGTTGTTCACGGGCAACTAACTGTTGAATATCGCGAAGTTTGTTGGAAATATTTAGGTGGTTTGTGGACAAAACAACACCTCTGCTGCGTCCGAAGGTGGGGAGCCGAGAGGCGTGCTAACAGGGAGGTCACCAGATCTAATAGCTGTACGACGGATTTGAGTCCAATACTTCGAAAGGGTTTCTGTCGCGTTCTAGTCTGCATCCCGCTTAGGTGTGACCGAGGACTGCTGTTCGTTTGCAAGGGGCTGCCCTCTGGGAGACCGGTTTGCGCAGGCGTCTTGCCTTTGTTCGGCGTAGTTTTTACCCTCGCGGTCCGAAATTTCGATGGCTGTTGCTTGTGGCCCGTGAGAAACCACCTTTTGGATGCCTTGATTATTTGTTGTTCAAGGGTTTGAGGTTTCTTGGACTTCCTGGCGCGGTTAGGCCTGCAAGATGTCTCTGTGAGGCCCTGTGTGGTCGCTTATGCGTTGGATGGCACCATCAAGGAATATTCCCAAGGGAATTGTTTTCGCGGAGGATCGCATCTTGAATCCAGCAAGCTGCTACTCGATTGGGTGAAGTTTACGCGCCTTATCTGTGTTTGTGTAGACACGCAGATCGTCCGCGATTAGCATGGCCAATTTGGTCTGTGTAGGAATTTCCAGTACAGTGCTGTCGGGTTTATGCCTTAAATGATCGAGGTCATGGGTGACAACTGAATGCAAAATCGGACAGGTCGCTTTTGACGGAGTGAAGTCCGGCAGTTTTGCATTTTCAGTGGTTGCGGCGCTCTCACAACAGTCCTCGATGTTAAGATCAACGCTTATGGCTGAGCTGACGGTGGACTTTGCTGCTTGTATCTGCACAAATGACCCAATCCAGCATAGAACTTTTGAATGAAGTGTGGAGTTCACCGGTGCGACATCACTGTCCGCTAAGGAAACAAATGACGATAATTCCACTTATGTTGGACGCTGTGTCCTCGTCAAGCTTACTTCACCCCGACCACTCGTCGCTAGTCGAAGGGTCCGCAATCTAGGGTCACGGCCAGTTGCATCAGCGTGCTTTTAAGAGCACAAGAGTCTATAACTACCATCGGGTCAGCCGTGTATTTGGGGTCAGTTGATCTGTCACCAAGCGAACGCTTGTTTTGCACCTCCCGTCTAGGATGTCGAATGATCTTGTGAATGATCTTGCGAAGTCTTGTGAATACTGACAGCCCGCTCTAAAATCCCCTGTACGACAGTTGCGGGGCAAACTGTGTTTGGAAGCTAAAATGTTCATTCGATTCCCTTTCCGCGTCGTAAGATGGTTCAGTGGTTAGAGGGCGAGTTTACTGACCGGAAGGTCCGTGGTTCGAACCCAACATCTTTCTCGCGACTTTCCCTGTCTATGCTTGGGTAACCTGGCAGTATCCTAGCCCTCTTGCTTCCTTCTGGTGGCATGGTGGTTAGGTGCCGAAAGGGTACTACAGCTGAACGATTTTCTCCGCGTCACCATTCTATATGAGAAGATTCGTATTAAGGCTTTCTTACGACACCACTAATGAGGAACTTTGTCAGTTTTGTTGGCGTGATTGGTTTGGAGAACGATCGTCCACCCTCAGATGATCGGCCTGGACTCTCTCATGTGGTTCTCCACTGGATACAACGTGGCCGTCTTTATTGCCGCTTCAGAGAGCTGAATAATTTTCTTCGAAGCCAAAGGACTCGGGATTGTAGGCGTTAGGTTTTTGTTCAGGGGCTATATTCGTTATGGACTTTCGTCCAGGCCGTTTCATTTCTGTATTTGCGTCTTCTCGATCTTTCGAAAGAAGTACCAGTTTCTCCTCAAGTGTCGCGATTAAAACGGGACAATTGCACCAGTCTTTCCTACTTATGGGTGGAGACTTGGTTTTGTTATTGACAGTTGTCTTGTTAGTTGTAAAATGCATAGCACCCCTAAGGTAGAGGCAAGCGGCGCTGACAAATGGGTCAGGAGAGTTTGATAATTGGCTTATCTAGTCATCCTGCAAACCCGTATATTTATGATACCAGCAGGCCTGGCAAGCGTGGCATTGCGTTCCACGTCTTACATTCGATGGACTTCCACTTCGTCCACATCTGTTATTTTCCGCCGATGGCTCTAGAGGAGAGCAGCCTGTGATGTTCTACCTCATGATTGAGAGTAGGTGTTTTCTCCGCAAAAATGAAGTGCAATCTGGCAGAGATTTCCACGCACAGATTATGTTGGGATGAAAATTTCGACAAATTGACACGTGTTAACCCTGCAAGTAGAGTGAAAACAATTGAAAACTAATTTGCACGAGTAAGATGCAAAGCCAATTTCGAACGTGCCGCACTTTGTGATAGAACCACTAGTTGGTTATAATCATATTGCATGCTCTCCAAAGATGTAGTGTGTATGTTATGCAGGCACCTTGGGACAGTGATTCCCAGAAGGTGGTGATTCACGGAAATTTGTATGGATTGAAAACAAAGGAACCTCGTGAGCCAAAGCCCAGTGAACACGGTTGTACAGTATCAATACTAAGTCAACTAAGTTGTAGGCACAGTTTACTCCATCCAGCGGACAACCAACAGACGCTGCCTGGCCGTAGTGCCTGATGTCCGACTTCGTTTTTTTCCTCTCGATAGAAACGCCTGTGTCACGGAAGTCAGTGAGTAGAAATTCCCCAGCAGAGGTCAAATAGTAACAGATCTCTCAGGAGTTTATCATGGCGTGCAAGAGACGATGTCATTCGTCTCACTAGTCACCTACTAGCAACCATACTAAGGCGTTTGAAGGCTTCGATTTCCTTTGGAAGGGGGCAATGATTCGGATAAGTCTACTCTTGGCGACTGGCCGACTGACAGTTTGCACCTGGTCTGTTACTCTATTCAGTTGGTTGCATGCATTGGCTACCTACCCGATCCCAAATCATCAGTGAACAAAACCGTGGCAGCTAGAACCATTGTCCAGCATGCAGAGATGGGTCAGTGGTTAGAGCGCGAATTTACTGACCGGAAGGTCCATGGTTCGAACTTGACCTCTGCATCTCAACTTCTGCTGTCTAAGCTTGGGCAACCTGGAAGTATCCCAGCCTCCGGATTTACTTCGGGTGGTACCGAGGTTATGCAACGAAAAGGTGTTACAGATGAACGACTCACTTTTATTTTATTGTTTATGATGAACCTATTTCATTAAAGGTTTGTTGAACCGAAAGAGGGTGACCTCAAAGTTCGACAACGGGATGGTGGTTTTTACTCTGGAAAGATTGTTCTAGAGCTTTAGAGCACCCACTATTCAAGTTGAGGATCCTGTTGTCAGCGTGTTATCAGCACCTCTTGAAAGCCGGGCTGCACTGGAGTCACTGCTGCATAAGCCCTGGCAAGCCCCATACAGACAGCCTGGGTTGTCTATCCTTCGAACAGGATAGGGGTAACAGACTAGGCTCTTTCGTTTATCCGATCGATTAGGTTATCTATTACGCACATAGGATTTGCCGGTTACCTTGTTGGTGCCTTGAAATATCATTTTTCCTTGCAGCATATCCAGCAGAGTATATCTGTCTAACCATTACAATCGCGCATTGCGCCCCTGGCTTCGTGTGTGGTAATGTGAAAACCTCCCCTTTTGAGGAGCGATCACCATGTCATTCAACGATGATATGTTCGACGATGGTGAACTGTCGGTAGAATATTCTTCTGAAGATAATTCAGAACCTGATGTGGATCTTGAAAATCAGTACTATATGGCGAAATCCAGAAAGGAAGATAATCCACAACACGCGTTGGAAGAGTTCCAAAAAGTTCTCGATATAGAAGCTTCGGGCGTCAAGGGCGATTGGGGATTTCGTGCTCTTAAACAAATGATAAAGATCAACTTTAAATTAGGTAATTTTGACGTAATGATGGAGAATTACAAAACACTATTAACTTATATCAAAACTGCTGTCACCAGGAACTACTCTGAGAAGTCAATCAACTCGATCCTGGATTATGTGTCAACCTCAAAGCAAATGAATTTACTGCAAATGTTTTACGCAACCACTCTGGATGCCTTGCGTGAGGCAAAGAACGAGAGGCTCTGGTTTAAGACGAACACGAAGCTTGGAAAACTGTATTTAGAACAGGAAGACTATATGCAGTTGCAACGCATCGTCAAAGAGCTTCGAGATTCTTGTCTGACAAATGAAGGGGAAGACGACCTGAAAAAAGGTACCCAGCTGTTGGAAATTTATGCTTTGGAAATACAAATGTACACTGCCCAAAAAAATAACAAGAAGCTGAAGGCATTGTATGAACAGTCGCTTCACATCAAATCCGCCATACCCCATCCACTAATAATGGGAATCATTCGTGAATGTGGTGGGAAGATGCATCTGCGTGAGGGAGAGTATGACAAATCTCACACAGACTTCTTTGAAGCATTTAAAAACTACGATGAATCCGGTTGTCTTCGACGCACACAATGTCTCAAGTACCTTGTGCTTGCCAGCATGCTAATGAAGTCTGGAATTAATCCTTTCGACTCACAGGTACGTCTATCTTTATTGTTTGCGAGTTACCAGCTCAGAAGTCTACCGCAGCTTTTTCGAATTCTAGCTGTTTTATCGGAAGAACTCGTACTCTTAGTAGCATCTTCACTTTCAGTTTCCACTTTTAGGTTATAGTTACTTACGGGCAAGGAATTTTGAATGGGTCCTTCATGCGCAAGCTGCCAATAATGTGACAAAAACGGAGATGAAGCTGGTGGGCTTTGAAGGCCCTGCGTTTTCTCCGATACCCTTTGTTCAGGGTTTTTTGGACAGATTGTCTGTGGTTGTAAAGCAGTGTTGCAGCTGGCCAGTTGTCCATGTGCCGAAGATCTTTCCGGTGTTTAGGTTACATATTTAAGTTTTGGTCACTTGGGCAGTTACTCCACCATAAGCACGAAAGACTGCAGTGGTCCAGATTGTTTCAGACGACGGAATTTGGGTTGTAGCTGTGAGTTGGATCCATTTGGACCAGGTTGCGCCTCACTGGTCCTTCATTCTTCATTTTGTTTAGGCCATTCATTTACCCTAGCTTTCCTGTATACATTTGGAATGCTCGTCAATACACCGTCTTTGTCTTTAGGAAACGAAACCCTACAAAAACGATCCACAGATTATGGCGATGACAAGTTTAGTTACTGCCTACCAAAACAACGACATCGCTGAATTTGAGAACATCCTCAGAAGAGAGCGAGATGCTATCATGGAAGATCCGTTTATTCGTGAACATATTGAAGACCTACTCCGCAACATTCGCACTGAGGTTCTCATCAAACTGATTCGCCCCTACACCAGGATTCGAATACCCTTCATCTCCCAGCAACTGAATCTTAGTGAGAATGAAGTTGAAAGCTTGCTCGTGGCCTGCATTTTGGATAACAGTATTCCAGCCCGTATCGATCAAGAACAGCAGATATTGGTTATGAGTACAGAGGTCACATCTGAAGCCCGATATCAGGCGCTAGATAAGCTAGCGCACCGTTTACGGCATCTCCAAACCGCCTTGAGCAGTCGCTTGCCGGTTGTTGGGTGACAATGAGGACGCCACTTTGGCTGATCGCCTTCCAAATAGGACAGCTTTATGTATCCAGACACGGATCTTTCACCCAGTTCAGAATCACTGACGTTTACGTGACTTATGCCATTGTTCGCTAAATTACGTATTCGTTGTACTTTCACACTTGTTTGTTTTCAAACAGGTTTAACAAATGATTTGCGCTTTTAACTTCTTTTTACATATAGGTTTCCATAGTATACGGATTACGACAAGTGCTGGTAACACTAAACATGCGTTTCCCGACTACAGGACTTCCTATTTAGAAACCCATGTGAGTCCTAGGTCGGGTTCATAGACAAACACCTCGAACTCATGCGTTTAGTCTTTTTCCACTTGGCACTGTTCGCAGTCGCTCTCGAATTTTCAAAAAGACGCGTGAATCCAACATCTCTGACCAGTTTCGATGTTAATGGACCCGTTTTGTATGACATTTTCATCATTAACCAATCCGTCCGTTGTCTTTGAAAGGTAGTCTAAGGCTGCACAAAGTTATCGCATGAGCTTAAAGGTCGCTCCAATCACGAAGTCGAATTCGGCATAGATGCTAATTTAAACTTGATGTGTTGAAATTCGAAAAGCAGCTACTCTGCGTATCCACGAATTCCGTAGAATTCGGAGGAAAAGTAAAGGCACGGTCGTGTCTGGCTTCAGTATTAAGACAGTGTATTGCGACAGAATAGGCCCTGCCGACTGTCTTGGTTTGGGTTTCTCTTCTAACGTTATCCAGGTAGGGAAAACCCCGTTTCTACAAGGTATGAATTTCGCTTATGAGTAGTGAACTACGGGTGACGACCCGCTACATCTTTCGCCCCTCTGCGACCTACAGGTAGGTCTGCCCCCACTTCAATTAGGCTTTAATCAAAATTTCATTAATCGATTCCGTTTCGTAATAATTGTCAACGGGGGAACGGAATGACCCTCGAATGAGTCTCTGGTTGTCGATCTCGTTCGTCGATTTGGTCATTAATATTTCGTATGGAAAACAGTTCGCCATTTCGGACACCAGCCCACCTGGTTTCCCGAGTTAGTCTCTACGCCACGAATTCGGTAGAACATCATAAACAAAAGGTTCGTTTCAAATCTTCGACCGACAAATGTGTATACCGAACGGACTTCAGTTCCTTCCGTTGCGCGAAACACCATCACCTCAGGTGCGCGTTAACTATTTCGTGCTGATAGAAACGGACGTGTGTTGGAAGATCAAACAAACAATGGAACTATAATTTTCGGACAGCGAAGGTCCAAGAGTTTGAATAAGAGGCGGAGCTGTCGAAATAACGAAACCGGTGGTCGATAAAACAAATGCCAACTACCGCCATTCATCGGCATAATAGGGATCCCGTATGTCGAGTACAATTCTCTCAATGATCATACTAGGTAAAGCACGTACGCACACTGTTCGAAACCATGCTTTCTACAGAAGAAAGGAGATAGATGTTTCCAAGGTCCTCGTAGGCCAGCAAAAGTGAATAGGCATTTGTTTTTACTCACCAAGAAGCAGCATTTCTTGTCTAAATTCGGGCAAAAAATTACCACTGCCAAATTCGACCGTAGCCTTTTTTTACTAGGGTAGGCGCTACTATCTGTTGTTGGCTTATCAGGTCATTGACCTTAACGAATGGGAATTTCAATGAGCCGACTGGTCCCGTTTTGAACTGCCCCGACTGCTCAAGCAAGTATATCTGGTTATCGGGATGTGTACCCGAAAAACTTCCCCCTCAAAACCAGTGCGCGCAGGTTCAAGGAACGGATAACCTGGATTATTCCATACACTGACCTCGATAGGAAAACTGGCTACTTTTAGGTAGCGGGGTTAATATTCTCAACTAGATTTGCGAGCTCTCCAAATTAGGGTCGGAAAGACGATAACACCAGGTAACGATCCATTCGTTGCTATGGGATTAGTTGGAACACATGTATCATGTACCTCCCAAGATGAATGGTCAGGTTGATGGTACCGTGAGTAATAATTTATCCTTCAAAGAGCGTGTACAAATATCAGATACGCTGATGAACACGACCACGTCGGAAAAATGAAGTCAGCCAGCAAGAGACAGAAGATACACATTATCTTGTGTACAGACGACACAGGTTGGATATGGTTTAGCCAGCGTAAGAAAACCAATAATTGGGTCCTCCACTGGGAGCGTTACAACGTGCTGCCAAGCAACATGAACTTTCTTGGTCGTGTCCCCTGATTCTTCGACGTTCCTCCGCCGTAGTTCAGTATCCCCATTCGGAAATCCAGCGTCGGCGACACCTTGGCGGTAAACATAAACTCGTTTTACCGCGTCAGCCACAGCTACAAACGGTAAAGGCTTAGCGTGAACCAAAGCTGGTGATGAGACGAATCTATGATCACGCTTGCTTGCCAAGACGTATCCAAAGGCTTGTAGGGTTGCGGCATGGTACCAAGGTAAAGGAGCCGAAGGGTCAGCACCAGATTTTTCCGAAGCACCGAGGGAGCTCTTGGGGACCCACACTACCCCATCAACATCATGTCGCAAACAGATTGCAGAGGTGCAAGTCCACTCACTGGATCGTTCAATGTGGACATTGAATAACCACGGATGACCCGAGAGACCGGCCTATAGGAGGAATGGAAAATAAGCGTACTGAAAGCAGCAAATAACAACATAAGTGTCCAAGCTGAGTACTAAAATGGGGTTAATTGCGCTCGTGGTATTCCTATCAAAATGGACAGTGCGAGGTGGATAATTCAACCTTGGGGACAGTTTTGCTGTGGATAAGGTCCGATCAGACTGGCGTCGGACCACACGATTAGTCGCCCATGTGGAATGACGGTGGCAATTATGTGATCCGGAGCTTCTGTCATGCGGAATAGATGTGTTGACTACCATATGTGACCTACCGAATGATTTTGTAAGGATATCGGCACAGGAGATGACATTGGTACGTCAGCCCTTACTGATGAAACCAAACCATCCGTTAAGGTGCACTTAAACGCCTTACCACTGCCCATACACACGCAAGCGAGTGAATACATTCCTAGGAAAGTTGGACGGACATCTGAAGAACTTTAGCGGTCGCACGAAGCAGGCTATGTGAATCAGACACACTAAAGCTCAGCTGATTGACCTTTAAGTTCAAGGTACGAACTAACTACACTTCCAATAAAGCGGTTTTTAGTCCTTTCGCTTTTGTTAGAAAGGAGGGGGCAAAAATAAACCACCGTACAACAACCCAGAAACAAAGTCGGGATGAAATCTTCCACCCAGACGAATCAAAACACTGAAAAACCGCTGAAGAGCGCGATCACCTAAAGAGCATCACAAGTCATCATAGATTACATGTATCGAGGGAGAGAAATGTACCGTACCGCGACCACAATTTAGTAGAGGGACACCCACCTGATGCGTAACTTGTAGGTTTCTTGCATCGAAGCGCTGCAAGATAAGATCATCATCCTCATCGTCTAACGGGAAATCAACTTCTTCCAGCTGTTCCACATTGAAGGCAGGTCTCAGTGTTGAACCAGTCGTACTGCTGACAGTATCCGCAGATTCAGTGGCCTTTGGTCCCTCTTGAAAGTGCTCCACTTCACTAGCTGACATGTTCCTCGTGCGATGCTTGACGAATCTTTTATCGACTTCGACATCGTGTATCAACCGGGGCCAATGCAACGTGTGCTTCTTGTGCAGATTCACCTCCAAACTTGTAAGTCAAACGAGAAAAAAAACTATACAACCCAAAAGATAAAACACACTACATCGGACTAAACAGTACCGCAGCGAAGCACTAGTGTCAACACCGGTGTTGCTGATGATGATGAGACTAAACAGAGTTCCAAATTCATCATTGCTATGGGTCCACGGATAGGAATAGAGTTCATCGATGCAAAGGTTAACAGGTGACGACTCTCGATAGCGAAATTATTTTAGTTGTGGAAAATAAAATGAGGATACACTCAGTTTGCTAATTGTATTGGTGTCGGTGGGAGGCTTGACAGAATCTCTGGTCTCAGCTTTTTTCAGTTGGCATGATATTCTACACACCGAAGCATACTGCTTTGACAGCCGAATTCCGGTTCGTCTTTCTTGGTAAGCGTAGCCTCCGAGATTCCATCAATAGTAGGTTTTACTCCAAGACCAAATTGTACATAATCGTCAAAACACTTTAAGTTCTGTCGGTGTTAACGGGAGAATCAGCCGAATCTCTCGGTTGTAATATTTTTCAACCGCTACCACCAACAAAAATTGTAAATGAGTGCACACAATTTGGTGTCCAAACCGGACACAGTTGATGGAAGCCCCGGAATTACGTCCAACTGACGAGACACAAGAAAGCCGGCACCGGTAGAGAGGTTAGAGTTCGAGAGTTTCTAACAACATCATACGTAATACCCGGCTTGACAGGAATTCTGAATGCACGAACCTCAATCTAAATCTGTCATTCAACGGAAAGGACTTCAGTCCTTGAACCAGAACTATTTATGTGCGTACGGTTGTCAGCAAAGAAATCGATAGACATAAAGGACTGGAATTGGCTAAGTGGTGGGGAAAATGATTAAATACAGGATCACCGATTTGTTGAGTTGACCATAACATAAGCGTAAGTTTGAATTTCCACACAGGAAAGTGTGGCTGATACTTTGTCAATTAACACGCTAGTCTATTTGCCCGACGGCCCCTTTTTCCCCAAACTTCTCAGTGCAGTGATATGAGGTATAAGTTTTTTTTGGCGAAATGCTAAAGTCACCCTATTTTTCGCGGAATATCTCAGTTCCTCCAAGTTGGGTTATTCAACTAATGAGTTAACTAATCTCCCAAGTAGTTTTACTGCTGAAAGCAACCAACATGAGTTTTCGCTTCAGAAAGACTTGGTAAACAATTAGTGGGTTTACTCAGCTCACCCTAAACGACGATTCCTCAGTCTGTTCCAAACTTCCTCCAACTGGTTGACAAGATCATTTATTTTGCGAAACATGTTGTTTGGCTATGGCGTTCCAACGAAGCCACCCCTACTACCCACCGTACGTACAAACTCAAGACGCCCAGTGAATTATCCTCAACGAAACAAGGAGAAATCGCTTTGTGGACGGCAGTTCTACCCCTAGTGTTGGCACTGCACGAAATAGCTGAACAGTCGAATCGAAACTGAAGGATAGAGTGTGCTTCACAATGTTCACCTTTGAAAGAGGTCAGACTGGGTAAATGGGTGGTTGTGGGATGCAAACTACTCGTAGGAGGTAGCTTCTACAATTTCGGCCCATTTCACCAATATTCTTTAAGTAGAATACCAGGTTTGAATCATTTGGGTAATTAGGCAGCTACGTGTAGCATCTTGTGGAGAAAAACCGCCCAACTGTAACACCCTTTCGGCGCCTAACTGCCATGCTACCCAAAGGAAGCACGATGGCTGGGATACTACCAGGTTGCCTAAGCCTAGAGAGGGGTAGTCAAGAGGCAGAGGTCGGGTTCGAAGCGGACATTCCGTAAATTCAAGCCCCAACCACTTGAGCCATCTCACCATCCTCTGGAAAATGAATGCATAAGGACATTGAAATTATCCCCTTCTGCAAACTGAAGATAGGAAAGGATGATAAAATTGCCTCAACTTGAAGCAAGTGACAACCACTGAAGAACCAGATAAGCAAAGCAGGCGGCTACCTGGAGTCATAGATAGTGATATGAAATTCAATGTGGATGAATCAGATGGACAAAAGTGCAACTGGCCAGGAACCAAGGTTACCAATACAACTGCGATTCGGGTGACGATTCACTGGTTCCACTGATAGGGATTGTGGCCTGAACGGAAAAGTTAGACTGAGGAAGTGAATGGCGAACTGATGAATACTCAAAAATGTACTGCTATCCTGCAAACGCGATCGCACATGACATCTTGACAGCTCACGGCCGGGACATGAACCTCAATGAGAAAGGTTGGGGTTAATGGTATTAACCCCCAGGCAAAAGAACACGTTTGGTTCTATACACCTGATCCCCCTACTTGACAGGGCTGGATTTATGCACTAATTTACCCGCCCGCGCGTGCAATGCGCAGCTACCAAGCCCCCCCCCCCAAATCATC